AACCCTAAGCCCTAAGCCCTAAGGGTCTTCTCCAAAAGAAAAGGCGCCTTCGAAGCTCGGGCTCTGCCTGTCGAGGGCGCCTCGTTGCTCAGGTGGCTCCGGGGAATTGTAGGGGGTTGAGGGTTTAGGGTTTAGGGCTTAGGGTATTGGGGTTCAGGGTCTAGGGTTTAGGGTTTAGGGTTTAGGGTTTAGGGTTTAGGGTTTAGGGCTTAGGGCTTAGGGTTTAGGGTAGGGCTTTGGGGTTTAGGCCTTCAGGGTTTCAAGCTTTGGGTTTTTTTGCAATTAGGGCCTTCAGGGTTTAGGGTTTTCGGGTTTAGGGCTGCGGGGCTTTCGTGTTTAAGCTTCAAGGTTCAGGGCTGTAGGTTTTTGAAGGTCCGCCTGGTGTAAGCACAAGACGCTCACGAGTGCAGCCTCCGGAGCATGCATCGTTCCCTGCAGGCACTACTATGCTCTGCAATAGTCGTAGAATACTACAGTATACTATTACAATACCGTATTGTACCATGCGATACTATACTACACTACGCTAAACTATACTACACTACACTACACCAAAAAAGCCGCAAGCGTTTACTGCGAAATGAACTCACACCATGAGCCCAGTACTGCGGAGGTCTGAAAAATAGGAAGCAGTACCCCTACAGCGGCGAATGTAATTCTAGTAAGAGAGACCACAAAATCCTTATCGAGGCAATGAGGCCCCTGCACTGAACATGTTTGAAGCTGTCAATGAGGGGAAGTGGCATCTTGCTTGCTTAGGGTTTCGAGTTTCGGGTTTAGGGCTGCTCGACGCGGAGTCTAAAGGGCCGCTTTCAAAATTGGTTTGCCGTGCACGATTTGATTGAAGTTGCCAGTTTCGCCGACAAGAACGGGCTAAAGATGCAACAACCCAACTCTTGACAGTTGCTCAAGATACACCCTGCAACTCTTAACCACTCCCCGAACCAAAGTATTTGCAGTCAGAAGAGTTGGATATTCCAGCATGAGCAGTTCCAACCCCATGTTGCTCAAACTGCTGGAACTGAAACAGACTATAACTTGAATGTACTAAGCATCTAAGATTGCACGTTAATATGCTATTCTATACTATCATACACTATTATAGCAGACTACAACATGCTACAATGTACTACAAGATACTAACTAGAGCATCCTATGGTACTACACTGAGATTAACATACTGTCACACACACACAGATATGGGTAGTTCTCTAAATTGGGGTCCCTTTTGGGGTTCTTTTTAGTAAGGGTGCCGCACTATGTTTGGGACCTAAACAGGGACCCTAACTTAGAGAACTGCCCATATGGAGAGCGGTCGGGATGCTAATGCCCAAAGCAAAAGCCAGGATGAGGAAAATGGCAGCCATCCTCAGAGGAGTCGGCAAAAACCGCTAAATTCACTGTTAGGTCGGGTTCAGGGTTTAGGGGTTTTCAGGGTTTGAAGGATTTTTTAGGGGTTAGGGGGGCATTCCAGAGTTTTTCGGGATCTTAGGGCTTAGGGACCTTCAAGCTGCTTTGTTGGTTTGTCGTGATTTCGGGTTTAAGGGCTCGGGCTTTGCGCATTTCGCTTTGGGCCTTCGTAGGGTTTAGGGCTTTCTGAGTCTTGAGCTTAGCACTCTGAGCTGGGACGGGAAGGTTTTTCACAAGGCCCGCGCGGGATGGAGTCTTTGCTTGCAGCTCTTTGGGCTTCGTAGAGGCCATTTTCCCCAACTGTTTTTGCGTGCTCCGATGCGTAATAGAGTAGACCACAATATGCTAAAACCTACTATAATCGACCCCCAAACTGGGCTTTTTTACCAGGCCCTACACCCTGAATCCTACAAGGCCTGGCGTTCCCGAAAAAGGGTTGAACAATTGAAAGCCTGTGAAGATGACAATTCCGCCCATGGCGATATTGCAGCCTCAAACCAGATAGACACTGCAACTCCTAGACTTGTGGGCCCAGGCACAAGAAAAGTCCCACCTCGGCGATGACCCGTCCACAAACCAGGACGAAAGCAGAAATCCGCATAGAGACGATACTGAGATCCAGGATCAGTACACAGTACAGGAGCATGGCTGCACCTGGGTTCAGGGTTTAGGGGGTTTAGGGGTTTAGGGGTTTAGGTGCTTAGGTGTTTAGTTTAGGGTTTAGGGTTTAGGGTTTAGGGTTTAGGGTTTAGGGTGGGCATGACAAGTCTGCAATTCTTTCTGGGCGCATCAGAGTGTAGCGATTCGGACGTTGGCCTTGGGGCGCTAAGAAGTTTGGGACGAAGTGAGTTTGTTTGTAGTGGTGCTTTGTCGAACTTCACCAGCGTCTTGCCCCTACCTACTCGAGTCACACATTTCTCCAGCCTATCGGGCCCATGTTGTCGCCAAGCGGCAAGAGAATGCTGCGTAAACCTCCTGGGAAGCGGGGCGCTGCGACTGGCACTTGCGGGCATGATTGCATGATTCTCAAGCAAAACCCTTCGAATACCAGTGCATGCGCCCCTGTCACTCTCAGCAACTACCAGTTCCGCTTGCGAGCGCTCCCTAGGCCCTAAACCCCTAAACCCCTAAACCCTAAACCCCTAAACCCCGAAACCCATAAGCCATAAACGCTAAACCCCAACCCTAAACCCAATGTCCGAGGATCTTTGTGTTGCTGGCCCGCAGCACAGGCAGTGTTGAAGAGCCCCGACCTCGGGAGCCGGCACAGCGGAACTGCAGGAGATTTCGGGTTCGGGACTTTAGGATTCACGCCTTTCGGGCCTTTATAGGGCTTAGGAATACACAGCTTTAACCGCAACACACCGCAGCGGCCTATCCCTGCTGTCGATGGCCCCCAGATCTGGGCTCGAAACCCGGGGTAGTCTCCGTAGGTGTCAGGGATGCACCACCAGATGGGCTCCTGGATGCACATGAATATCCTCGGATCAGGCTCGCATTCTCCGAGATGCTCCGTCGAAGCAAATCTTCTCTAGAAACAGATCCCACCCTAAACCCTAAACCCTAAACCCTAAAGCCCCCTTCAGCCTGGAACGCGGAACAGGGAATGTAGCGCCCGGACGTTCAACGATACTCGCCTGCCTGCCAAGGGACAACATCCAGAGGAGAAGCATGTTGCCGACTTCTTGGCCACCTTGGCGTGGAGATTAAAAGAAAAGCCAGCTTGGCTTTCGGCGGTATCTACTTTGTCCTGCCAAGCACCACCACCACCACCACCACAACAACAACAACAACAACAACAACAACAACAGCAAGAGCAACACTGACTCTGACCCCAACAACATTCCAAGCATGAGCATCAGCAACAGAGCAGCGACGGCAAGAGCTGCAGCTGCAGCTCCAACTTGAGCTTGACATTCAGGCCAAGCTTACTCTAGCGACTTGGAGGTTCATGGGTAGTTATAAGTGGGGTTATAAGTCCCCTAATATGGGTTATAGCTATAGTTACCCTACTTAGAACTCCACATATAACTACCCATGAACCTCCAAGTACTACAATGATGTACATGCTCAGCTTGATGCACGGTTTGCATACTGTTGATTGAAGCTGCCACCTACGGCTGGAGTGAGCAACGAGCAACTTCGAGCATACCGGCCAACGGCCCACAAGGCGCTGTCGTGCCGTACTGTACCGAATTAAATTGACAAGTTGGCGCAATTGTAAATAATAATAGTAGTAATAGTACTAATGATAATACTGGTAATACTAGGTCCGAGTCGATCGCAGGGCACTAGCAGTAGCAACACGAGATACGATATTCGCCCCTCAGCAGCAGCCCGCACATACGGCCGTCGTGTCAACAGGAAACAGTTCACAATGCTGCCAAGCCACTGCAAAGGAACTCTGGGATCGGGATCTTATTGAAGAGCCTGTGTGCACTTCAGAGTACGGCAGCTTCAAGTCTGAGCTTTTGCGCGCAGTGCATCCGAAACACCAACATCTATAGGCGTATGCCGCGAGACGGGAATCCGACGACCTGGAAAACTCGTCAACGAGGCCTCTCCCAGGATCCATGTCGCCAGTCGTTCACGAAGAGGCGGATCTCTCCTAAAGCGCTCGGCTTCGCCATGATTTGATGCTTGCAAACGTTATCATGGAAGTAGCACTACTCACTAGTCGCTGCCATCGTCGTCATGGTGGTGGCCGCAGAAAAGTCGTCTATTTGCTGCACGCTGTTTGTTTGCTGTACACATTTCCGTGTACTTAATAATTTCTACCACTACCACTTCCATGGCTGCCACTGTTGGTTGGAGAGGTCATCATTCCAGGTCCTCTCGATCCGACTGGATGCAGACCCCCGTGATCCAAACTGCCCTGCTGCCACTGAGGCCCACACGGATGAACATGTGACACCTGACATCGTGAGAAGCTGCTCAAAGCTGGCCGACACCAGATCGAAGGCCTAGCATAGTTACTGCAATTGGGCGGCATGCTGCCAACGTAGATGAAGCAGCGGCAACCGAAGATGGCAATGTTCTCCTGGAGCTTGCCCATGATGGCCACTGGTCTAAGAAAACGTGATGCCAGGCCCGGCCCCCTACACCTGTAACCTTGGGCTCTCTAGAGCCCGGTTCACTGTTCAGGGTTGAGGGTTTACTTGGAGGTTCATGGGTAGATATATGTGGAGTTCTAAGTAGGGTAACTATAGCTATAACCCATATTAGGGGACTTATAACCCCACTTATAACTACCCATGAACCTCCAAGTAGGCTTAAGGAAGAGCCCGCAGCCGAGGTTGGCGTTCCTGCCAAACTCGTGGTGCGGGCACAAGCCGCGCTTTTGCTGTTGGCAACCCCAAACCCCAAACCCTAAACCTTCAAACCCTAAACCCCTAAACCGTAAACCCTAAACCTGAAACCTTCAAACCATAAACCCCTAAACCGTAAACCCCAAACCCTAAACCTTCAAACCATAAACCCCTAAACCGTAAACCCCAAACCCTGAACCTTAAACCTTAAACCCCCAAACCGTAAACCCTAAA